GTATTAGAATGATCGTTCACCAGATATACCTATTCTGGGACAGTTGTTACATGCTTTTGAGTACATTACAGGTTTGGGTATAACTTCATTTGTTCTGCATGTTAAATGACTCACATAATTCTCTTTAAAATATACTTCCAGAAAACTAGTTTGTATTAGGAAAATAAAATCATGCCTGAGCTAAACATCAATCCCAAACTTAATCTGACATTCATTTAACATGAGCAGATAGTAGGGTGCAAATATACCTCTTTGATGAACAGCCAAAAATCTGGAGAAAATTTCATCAAAAAGGATGTTGGTTCTCTTAATATGAATGCAGAATTCGACTGCAACACCAACAACCCGTGCGTATTGCTCTTTTATTTCAGAGTGCAGTGAAGTGCTTCTAGACACTGGCTCATTTTCAACTTTTTCAATCTGGTTGCAAAATGCTACTGAAATATAAGAAAATACTTCATCTACATACGATAAAAGCAACTCAACAAGATGAGGCATTATGGCCTCCTGTACATCATCCAGTGCTCTAGGCAGATCAATGACACCATGAGCTTGGCCATCATAAAGTGTCATTGCCATGTTTAAGGCACCCATCCAGTCACCTGCTCTCCGCAAAACATGAATTCGTTCTTTCCATGGAAGAAGACGCGAAACAATAAGATGCATATTTCCAAGTATGTATATAGAAGCCCCTCTTACAGCTATACAATTGTGAAAAGCTTTCTCAGGGTTCCCAAAAACATTAGTGAAGTAAGTATGATATGCAACAAGATCATCTCCTGCAGACCCATTTACACCAAAATTTGTTTGGTGAATCACAGTCCCATCCTTTGCAAAAAAATAGAGCTGACCGGTCAATGTTAAAACCACCAGTAACTGGAAAAGCAGAAAGCACCTGTCACAGTTGGTCATGGTGTACTTTCAACCAGGAAATGGAACTATTTACCATTCACAAGCTACAATAAGCATAAAGTAGAAGTTTAAAACAAAAAACAGTTAAAGCCTACCGAAAGCCAGAACAAAAAAACAAAGGAGTTACTTGCCAATAAACTATATATATCATTCAACAAACAAAACATGCATACCTGATCATCCAACCAAGCCACACCAATAGCCGCACTATCAATGGACCACTTCCCATAAACCTTCAACTCTGATTTCACCAGCTTTGCAACCTGTACCTTCCTATCCCAAGCAATTGCAAGCAAAGAAACCCTCTCTGCTGCTTCAGTAGAAGCACTTTCTGCAGCATATTAACATCTTAGAAGACCATCAAACTAAAATATAGGAAAATTCAGACAACTATTACCTGCAGAAGAAGTACAAGATTGCATCACGCATTTCCATGCCGTACATGGCATGGAACCCTTTCGAACCCCTTCTGGCCTAGAAAGCTGTGCATAGACTTCTAAAGTGGGGCTGAGCCTTACCTGAAACAAAGGAATGCTGCTTCAATACATCACAACTGAGAAACCTCCACATGGTTAAGCACAACTTTGACGAACAAGAGGTACATGGAACTTGTCCAGTCATCTGGACTTCATACCACCAGAGCAGTCTGATAGGTGACAAATATGACTACACCTTCTTCATTCAAAGATGAACCCTCATTGAAGAGTTTCCAACCTGCATCTCCCCCAACAACACCTCCCATCATGCTGCCTATGCTGCCAGATGAAACTGCAGAATTT